CTGTACATCAACAACGTTTGCATACAACACTATGCAGATCATCTGCGATCATCTTGGTCTCTCAAGTCTGACATATCATTTCTGATATAGTCAATAGATTCGTTGGGCACAATAACCACAGACCAATGACACGTCGATAGTCAAAACCAACATAAATTTACAGACCAGGTTTTTCTGGGGTCTTTTATATGAATTTATACTTAAAATTTGTAAATAATAATAGGTCGGTTTTTCATTAATTTCAATTAATTAAGGTTTTTAGTCGAGATAAAAAAGTCAATGGCACGAGCGGGATTCGAACCCACGATCTGCTAGATACGCCGCTGCTCTACAACTTGAGCTATCGTGACCTGAATCCACTCGGATACTAACTTCCCATCTCAACCCCACCTTTTTGAATTTTCTCTCTTTTTTGCCATTTTCCAAATGACGTGTCATCTATTTGATTCTCGGCGACAAATGAAATGGCGACGGAGAGCTTTAGTGAAGGTATACTTCAATTTTACTTATTAAATTCACTAGTTTTAGTGGTCCGCTTGACCGTTGGTGTCCGAGTAGATTCAGGTCACGATAGCTCAAGTTGTAGAGCAGCGGCGTATCTAGCCGAAGATCGTGGGTTCGAATCCCGCTCGTGCCATTGACTTTTTTATCTCGACTAAAACCCTTAATTAATTGAAATATATTAATTGGTCAAGCGGACCACTAAAACTAGTGAATTTTTCATTAATGTCAAACAGTTGAAAACAGCATGGAAAGAAATTCTGAATTTAAAATGAAATCTAGCTTTCCCGAAGAAGTGATTCACTATCAGCCTCTTGTTGCAGAAAATGCACTGAAGAATGTTGTTCGCAGAAGGTTATCTCAGAACAGATCGACGTGGTGGAAGAACGGACGAACAAGGCCCCTTTCAGAAAACAAGGAGAGAGCCTTGCACAAAAACAACACTGATTATTTTATATAGGGAAATGTTAAACTTAAGCTTCTCAAATAAAAGTAGAAAGTAGAAAGTTTCATTATTTTGAGTATTTAGTATGTTCTATTTCTTAACGTATTACATTTTTATAATTCACCTAATAGTAAATGTTTGTGATTTACCTAATTATTTCTTGATATATTTACGGCTCGTATAAGCATAATTGCTTTCTGTAAGGATAATAATTATTATTAACATGATAAAATGTACATGTTTTTAAACCAATTTAAACTTTAAAAATAAAATTTAATCACCTAATAATTTAGAAAGCTACGAAACGAACACTTTCTTGTCGGCTCGACTCGTTCTGGGGTCAAAAGGTCCCACTGCGTCGTACAAATTTCTCCGGGCATGTACATTTTAGGAAGATATCCATCGTTTCTTAATTTGGGCTTGCCTACTTGCCATTTCATTTAGCGTTCCCAAAAGAGATTGGAATAGATTTTTTTGTCGTTTTATCGCCTAGGGGATTTACGACAACCTCGGCCTTGGACAGACCTGTGGGCTGTACTTGTAATGCATGTGATGCAAGCAAGCAGGCCGTCCCACTTAAAAAACGTTCCGGATTGAAACGGATAGCGAACAGAAAAGAGAACGAAGCGACCATATTTGGATCGGTGGGAATGAACTGCTTAATACTTGTCGAGATGTGTTGGATATTTCTATTCTGATCATCTTTCTTAATAAAAATATATGAGTACCTTCAAATATAATAGTATGATTAGTTCACTAGATTTCGTGGTCCGATTGACCAAATAACATCTTACAATTAATTAATCTTTATGTAAGGTATTGGTTGGGATAAAAAAGTCAGTGTCACGAGCGACCAATACATTAGTTGAGATAGAATGTAGTGTCCGAATGGATAGCTCAAGTGGTACAGCGTATTTATTCTTAGGTTATGGGTTCGAATCCCGCTCGTGACACTGACTTTTTTATCTCAACCAATACCTTACATAAAGATTAATTAATTGAAAGTATGATTAGTTTCGACCAGGCTTTTCTTGGTGATTTTGCCTGTCAGATGAATTTCGCCATATTCAGCTGTGGGTCAGTATTCTATATTCGTAAGTCGAATTTTTCCTCATTTAGTTTTTAAACTTTTAAAAAGGGCAATTGATAAAATAAAACACATTCGAATCACTAAAAAAAGGGAATAGCAGGCATGGCAGATGATCACAGGTCAGCTGGTCTACCATCTCATCCAATCCTACATATTAAAAAAGCCCTCAACTACCAATGTTGTTTCTTATTGTTTTGGTGTCAAAACAATAAGAAATATATAAAATCTGTCTATAATAACAAAATGAGAAAATCAGATTATTTTAGATAGTATTAAGCGGAAGTTCCATCCAAAATGAAACCACGGGTTGTTGAAAAAAATTCTGATATCTTATTGGAAAAAGCCTACATCCGACAAAAACAAAACTCTATTGAAAAAATCCTACAACCGACAGAAACAAAACTTTCATGTTTCCTAACCATCTAATCAATGTGCTTTGTTCATGTTCAAATCGCCGTCCGATGAAAATACAACAACAATGGGCCCTCCGTCCAAGCGTGTCAATAAATTGTCACACGCTCATTAACTTTTAAAAAGCCGGTTTCGCGTCGGTCATTTCTCTTCTTTCAAAAATGTCTTTTGGGGTGAGTTGGTGCATAACCGGTTTTTTATTATTATTGAAAAATAAGACGAGTCGACGGTAAAGTAAGTTACTTCAATTAAAGTAAATGTTTAATATATTTTTTATGCAATATTTTATACTTGTCTTTAATTATAATTAATATTCCATAAAGGTTGATGTAAACGACGGGAAGGTGAAAAAACTATGAGGTTGCATTTAAACTATTGAAATATTAATTATAATAGCCCGATCTGCCCAGCGGAAATCAAAAACGCAATGAAAATAATATGTTGGAATGGCAAGTCCGTTGGGATATTAAGACTCAAAAGTTAAAAGCGGTGAAACAGAGAGTCAAATCCTGGGTCCCGGAAAAAAATGAAGAAGAGGGAAAGGATTAATATAACACGATTGACGACTGGCCACACTCGCCTTGGCTACTATAACTCTATCTCCTCATAGAAAAGGGACCTAGGAAATACCCTCTCTGCTTCGCAGTTGTAACAGTGAAACACGTTTTAGAATAATGCACGGAGTATGGTGCGACATACCTGAAGATATGTCAATTGTTCTGAGGCATGACAGCAACTACAAAGAAAATCTCATTGCATATTTAAAATCACTCAATGGGAACATATAAACAACCACACGTTGTGTTCTCCCTCTTACTTGTATGAATGTATTTATTAATGCGAATGGTGAAGGATGCGTTGGTGAGGATATGGAGTACCCACAGGGCCAACGAATTAGGTTTACGTAATTTAATATCTATAAAGAGATGTGAGGTGTGAAAGTGATAATGTGAGTTTGTTTGCCCGCCTGCGTGTTGCTGCAAAGTACATTATAACATGGTTTTATCTAAATTGGTCTAGTATTCTTATAAAACGAATTTATTTTTTTGAAAAGTCAATGCCATACGGGCATTTTTAAGCTAGTTGTTGATATTAATTCGTTCGAAGTTTATCAACTTAATACATATACATACACACGCTACATTTAGGCATCTATGCCACAAACGTTGCCTTAGAATATGGCACGGTTTACAAAGCATAGCCTTTAAATAGTAAATGTACTACTTACGTACGTATATATATAAATTATAAAGAATACTTTCATTTTTTATTTCATTTCAGCATATAGGAAAGAATTTGACACACAAAATAGAATCAGAAAAAATTCTTAAATCGGTTTACAAAAAGTATCATTCCAATTGCAAATATAAGAATTTGCCCAGGAAAAATTTCACATTGATTAAATTGGGCTTGGAAAAGTCAATTTTGTCTAAAATCTATCATATGCAATATTTAACGTTCTTCTGCCTTGGGTTAATCAATATGAAAACTAAATGAGAAAACGATAAATTGATTAACTAACTTATAAAGCAAGTAATAAGTAAATTACGAGTAAAGTCTAATTTAAAAATTGACAAAAAAATTTAATTTGAAGATTTAACTGATGTAAGTAAAAGTTTTACATTTGTTACTTATGAATACCATCCGATTTTCCAGTGACCAGCATCTCAATATTTAAGTAACTTCATAGATAGACTTATAATTTTCTATATATACACTCTATAAATTACATAGCATAATGCTAGATATATGTACAATTTTATAGATTATTTTTGTATATTTATTCATTACTCGTGGTGAAAATGATGATTTTGAAAACGAAAAAATTTAATTCGGAAAAGGAAAAAAGGAAATTTATTATTAAATGGATGGATTATTTTTAAAAAGGCATTTTTCATTCTAAGCCTTTATAATATCTATTCAATAAATTCTGATGAGATGCTAAATTTACCATATAGCAGGTTAGAGTCAATTTATTACCTATTAAGTATACTTGGTAGAATAAAATGCTGGAAATTCGGTCGTTACCATTTTTGTCTGTCAATTTTCACTAGACGTTTCGACATACTTTAGAGTGTGATTTGATTTAGAACTATTATAATTTTATTAGAAAAACGTATAATATATATGGTTAGGTATAGTTCAATCTGCTTTGGAAAAAGTTGAATTTCATGTGTAAATGTATGAATACGCTTCTGAAAATGTGTTTAAAATGTTGAACAAATTGACGATTGACGTATTGAAATAACTTTGGATCGAGTTACATTCTGCGCCACACCTACAATTTTAAAACCTCTACATTTTTTCGTTGAATTAATTATAAAGTGATTATTTGTCAAATCAACGAAATCGGTTTTCTGCCTATTATTAACCAACCGTTTTTCCCAATTAACGTGTTGACCTATCACGACACGTACCCAATGTATAATTTGGATCTCTCGAGCTCCTATCTTCTTCTTTGAAGAGTTCGATAAAATTAATCAGCTTTGTTAACGCGTTGAAGGGTTTTTTAACGAACGTGTTAACCTGTAATTTAGCCAGTTTTAAAATTACCTTTGATTTGTACATCGTTCCTTCAGCGCATATGGCCAATGGAAAATATTCTCCAGAGGATGAGATTCAAAACAGTCGTTGCGCACTCTTGCAAACTGTCGGTTCAAGCTGAAACAGACAAGGAAGGATTAGTTAGTTAGTTGGGGCGAAACTGCACGGTGCCCGCCGTGGCTTAAAAAAACAAAGAAAAAAAGTTTTTTTTTTTCTTTTTTGGATAAACTCAGAGACGGAACGATTTAAAAGATAAAAACGATTCTCATTGTTTTGAAAGTTCAGACCCGGAGACTCGACATGAAACCAGGATGTGCAGTCTTTGGAAATTTCATTTCCTCAAGCAGATTCACGCCATTCACTCATTTAAAATGAAGCAACACGTACTTTCTCATGATGAACAACTTGTATATACGAAGTAACACTATGTTTAAAATTTTAATATGAAATATACGTAATGTACAAATTTGTGAGATTTATTCTTCGGGTTTGTGAAGATAAGAAAATTTAGTTTGTTTTTTTCCGATAATTTTAGTCTGTCAAATGCCAATTCTCGGTGTTGGTCAGCTATGCCGAAATATCATCAATATGCACAACTCCTAGGCATGTTTAAAAGTTTCAATTTTAAATTTTTAAAGTATGTCTATTAATGTAATGCAAATAATAATCAATAGAGGAACAAGTGATACAATGTTTTAAAACATTACTTTCACTTATTAATAAGGCACCATTAAAAATAATTTTAAAAACGTGAGAAACAAATGTTAAATAAATATGACAGATAAAATAACCTAAGTTTTAAAAACATTGTACCACTTGTTCATTGGGTTAATTTAATATTTTTAAACGCAGTCTTGCACATTGTACAACATAATAATAATAAATAATATTACCCGCTAGAAAAGTAGAATTTAAACCACATTTTTGTGCAAAATATGAAACAAACTCAATTTTTAAAAAATGTGCGATTTTTGTACTACTAAGGAAAAAATTTCATTCACGGGAAACCTCATGAGCATATTTGAATTGTTCATCATCATCAGCGTGCGCAATTATGTGAAGTTCAGTCTGTTCAACTACTAATTTTTATCAAATACTTTTAATCTTTTTAAGTCAATAGCGATCTAAATATTTCCCACAAATCAAACTGAATATATTACAATATAAATATGTTATTTTAACGTTGGTCACTCGATTAATTATTTCTGCAAATAAAAAGACCTGGGACATTCTTAGATTCTCGTCCCTATTTCCCGTTAAATTAAACATATTCGTTCTTAAATTAATTTTATATGGATTTAAAATGTAGTTGTTAAATAAACTATATGTCGAAAATATAGTTGGTGTTAAATTTAATCTAACCCATTAGATTTCGTGGTCCGATTGACCAAATAACCTCTTTCAATGAATTAACCTTTATGTAAGGTATTGGTTGAGGAAAACAAGTCAGTGTAACGAGCTGGATTCGAACCCACGATCTTCGGCCAATACGCCGCTGCTCTTCCACTTGAGCTCTCGTGACTTCGATCTGCTTGGACACCAACTTCCCATCTCAACACAACCTTTCGAATTTTCCTTCTTTTTGCCATTTTCAAATGTCGTGTAATCTATTCGATTCTCGGCGACAAATTCGAATCCCGCTCGTGACACTGACTTTTTTATCTCAACCAACACATTACATAAAGATTAATTAATTGAAATTTAATCTAACGTTATTTTTGTTAACTTTCAAGAAGTTGGTTTTGTAGCCTGAAATTAGCCTGTTTTCCGAAATCGATTGCATCTTTTCTTTTTAACAACTGATCTGTTGTCTATATATTTTAGGAAACTTCTTTCTCTCAGTTCGTTTTTCTTTGTGTAAAAGTGGGTTACTTTTGTGATCAAAATGTGTTTTTACTGGTGAAAATTACCGGTTTCCTTTCACGAAAGAACGAGGATTTTTGAAAGGCATAAAAAAAGCCACCGTTGATAACCGAGAAATGCATACATTAAGGCTGACGAAGTTGGAAAAGAATCCGGCTTATAATACAAGGAACGATCCAATAATGGCAATACAGGTCGCAAAAAAAGTTCTACTTTCTAAGTGTAACAAGCCTTCGGCGGCAGAACAACGTCGGTAATATATCCTCAGTTTTATTTCTGACAAACCTCCGCCCGGTTCATTACATGTTATTAACAGTTCCAATGTTCAATGCTGATCAATGTGAAAATTACAAGGTTGTCCGAATGAGGGGAAATCCGTGAATGGATTTTGTTTCGTTTTTTGCTGGTACACGTCAAGTTCGCACGTCGCATTTACGTTGGGCGACCCATTCATGTTAGAGGAGAAACTCACATTGACTTGTATCCATTGAACGTAACCATTTGTAAAATGTTAATAATTTAAAAAAATTTAACCTTCCCGTCACCGAGAACTATCAGACGGTCTTTTACATTTTGAAAAAACAATAATGTTATCCATACATTACCTAATCACACTTTCCATCGGATAGACACTGTATCAGAAATAGAGTGACGGAGAAATATGATCAAACTGTCCAAGGATATTTTATGATTCAAACATATTACAATATGTGTCGATTAAATATTTATTTTGATAATATGTAATTGTGAATAACTGATAAATCATAAGTTCATCATTTACGCCCAGACTTTCAATTCTGAAAGGAAGCGTATCCAAGAGATAAACGGAAATTAATTGAAAATGCAGGAAATGAAACCTGAAAATTATTTTTTTAATTTTTTTCCTTTTAAATCCAATTAGTGTTCGTTTTAAATTCTGCTTTTCACCGTAAGCGCCTTTAAATTTTATCGACGTCTTCTGGTCGACGTCTTGCAAATTTAATGTTCCCCAATATCAGGCCGAAATTTCCCATCAGGTGCCAAACGTAGGAGTCAAGCATCTGGAAAAATATACTATGACTCTTGAACAGACGGTCAAATTGGCAGAGCTAGAGGTCTTCGGACAAAGTTATTGCAGTAGTTTTTTGAACTTCGATCTTCTGGTACTTGGGGCAAAAGTATCGACTCCCTAGTTTATCCAATATATTTAGTGGTCTATTGACCAAATTACTGCTTTCAATTACTTAATCTTTTTATATAAGGTTATGGTTGAAATAAAAAAGTTAGTGTCACAAGCGAGATTCGAACCCACGACCTTCGGCTAAATACGCTGCTGTTCTAACCACTTGGGCTATCGTGTCTTCGATCCATTCGGACATTAACTCCCCATCTTAACCTACTCTAGTTTATGTTGAACTGTTTGATAAAGTTTATCGAGGGATAAAAAGAAATATCACATAATGTAAATGTGTTGTAAAATTGTGAGATACTGTTGAGGTCTGAAAGGTGATAGACGCAGATCGAAATTTTGCTAATTTCAGTGATAGTTCTGTACGTCGGAGTATACACGGACCCGAACGGAATGTGTCACCAATGCCAGTGTCCGGTCGTCGGTGTATAATATATATATAAGAAAAGCAGATATATAGATAGAGAGACAGGCAGAAAAAGAATGAGTGAGTGAGAGAGTGAGTGAGTGAGTGACTGAGCGAGAGAGGGGGGAGATAGGGAGAGAGAGAGAGATAGTTAGAACTAAATGAGAGAGTAAATATCATGATTAGAAAAACAGAGAAGATATTTTAACTTTGTCTTTTCTATCGTGATGTTATGTATTAAATTTTTTAAATCTTTTTCGTCTTACGAAAAGCCAGACAAAATTATTTTAAAATTAATTAAGGTTTTTAGTCGAGATGAAAAAAAGTCAATGGCACGAGAGGGATTCGAACCCACAACCTTCGGCTAGATACGCCGCTGCTCTACCACCTGAACTATCGTGACCGCGATCCACTCGGACATCAACTCCCCATCTCAACCCCACCTAATGAGTTTTCCCTCCTTTTGCCATTTTTCATCTCGATTAAAAACCTTAATTAATTGTAAAGTATTAATTGGTCAAGCGGACCACGAAATTAGTGAAATTATTTTAAAGATTGTTTTGATGTAAAAGGATGTTTATAAAAGATCTCTAAGTTTTTAATATAAAGAAATTATTGTTTGTTGCTTACAGCGTATAAACATGTGAAATATACAGGGTGGCCCCAATCGATTCAGCCGCACTTCCATATCTTATAGGAAATTGAATGCTGAGTAAAAAAGGTCTTATGAACCTGTGTCCGCAGACCCTTCAGTTCCGAGCTACAGGCAAAAAACCGTGAAAAACCACGTTTTTTTTTACTTTATTTGTGAAATTGTAAGTAAACCGTTAGCCTGACTGTATATCTGTAGAGGATTAATTTCTGCGTCGAATGAGATTAAAACCAGCTTGATCGGCCGAAAATTTCATTTTTGGCGATTTTTCGAAGTTAGGAGGTGAAGGGGTACACAAAATTCACCATTTCTGACACTTTTATCGAAAATTCACATTTATTGAAAAACCCAAATATAACCTAATAAAAAACGCAATAAAGAAGGAAATTGCTATAGAAAAATCAAACAAAACACTTAAAAAAGAAACTAAAAAATAAAATTTGTTGAATGTCACAAAATTGTGAAGAAAAGCAAGAAGTATTCGGTTGAAATAGTCAAAAGAAATATTAATAGTCGAATCCTTAGAAAACAAAATCTTCTTAAGCGAGAGGGGACTAGATGAAATTTTTTCCGATTGTTCTCTGACTTCGGTAAAGTGTGCTTTGATGTTGGTGCAACCCTGATTACGTTACCCTGATTTCAATATCGTTTAAACGACTATTGAAATATGGGCAATTAAATCTTAAAGTCTAATGTCCCACAACGTCTTGTAACGAGACAATGATACAAAAAAAAAGTTTACGAGGGTAAATGTGGGCCATATATCGACAGCCATAATTCGTGTTGGTTAACCGATCCGTGACAGTCTTTAAAAAATGTTTAAATATTAAAACGTTTTTTAGTAGAAACGTTCAAAAACAAAAGCACCTAGACACAAACCATCATCCATCGAAGCAACATTTTACCCCGTTATTAATTGTTCGTACTCACAGAGAAACTTGTTTACAATTCAATTCTATAAATAAACAATGAAACCCAAAAGATCAATGGTTGGAAATATAATATAATTAACCAAATTTTGGTTAAAA